TGTCCGGAAGTCTAGGGTGAAATAAGTGATGAAGCAAGTTTGAGGAATAGGCCTGTTTCCCCTCCCTTCTTCCCTTCCTTCTTCTCTTAGTCCCTCCTCCCTTCCCCACCTCTATTTATTTCATTTTTCCTTATAGTTAAAAGATGAGGATTTCCTCTGTATTTAGAGACTTATGATTTGTATGTGCTAAATTCAAGTATAATTTTTAAAATTTCTCAGGGATCAGAATATTTCTCCCCCCTTTTCCTCCCCTTTCCTCCTATTTTCCTTCCCTCCCTCCCCCCCTCCCCTCCTAGTACCCCCTCTCTCCTCTTGGGGGCAATAGGTGGGATTAGGTATAGATCCCTTAGCACTCTAGATGGCCTCTCCAGCACCCTATCCCACTTTATTCTGAGTGGCCCATTTTCTGTTTTCTTTCTTGTGAAGAGATTCCCGATTCCTGTTAGTTCTGCCTTAAGAACAAGACAGCGAGTGTAAGAGAGGGTTTGCAGTGAGTGTGTTTAATGTAAAAGGAGAAGCAAATAGGCTCTCAGAGGCCTGTGACTGTCTGAAAAGAAATTTCCCACTAAGCAGAGGTACCCCCTCTTGCTATGAAAAAAGAAGAAAAGCGACAACATCTGGTGGGTTGGCCTATCTAGATCCAGCTCAGTCCAGCCAGTAGAATTGGGGTCTCTGCTTGCTAGTTGCAGTCTTTCTAGGAAAGGGGGCTGCTGCTCCTCCACCTGCCTCTTCTGCTGCAGCGCAGGGTCCTGGTGGGGCTGTGACCCTGTGGAGTGCAGTCATGTGACATTGGGGATAGCTGGGGATTGGTGAGGAGCCAGCCTGAGTGGTTTAACTTTATTGCCTTTCTATGGGCAGCTTTATTGTTTCTTTGGGCATGGGCTCACTAGGTGCAATTAGAGAGCCAACCTTGCTTGATCTCTCTGATGCTCACATTTTCTGTTTAGCAAGGACATGGCATGGGGACAAGGGTGGTCTGCCAAGCAAGCCATGCAAAATGTATAAATTAGAACAGTTAAATGGCCAACAAATCTTAAGATATTTGCTTGATTCCTGGAAGTTATGCTCCAAGATATTTGCTTGATTTCTGGAAGTTATGCTCCAAGCAAAGTCCATGCCAGAGTCAGGCCATCTGGCTGGCCCCCATCACTTTTGATATTTTAGAAAGCAGGAAATTCCAGTTCTTGCAAGAGAAAGTGAGTTGCTTCAATGACTGGATTGTAGGTACGTATTCCAGCATAATGGAGAGCATGATTCATCGGCAACAAAATAGATGCTGGAGCAGGGGCTGAGAGTTGAGGAGGAGATGGGAGGAGTCCAGCCACAGAGAACTGGGGCAGGCGTGGGGGTGGGGGGTGGGGGGACTGGAAGGAAGCAGCTGCGTGTTACTAAGCGTCTGGTGGTACAGCCCTGGTTAAGCAAAAAGGCTCCAAGGCAGGCCAGCCTGGATTTTGAGGTCTTGTCGCACTCCTTGCTAACTGTGCAATTTTAGGTGAGTCAGTAAACCTCTCTGTGCACCAGTTTCCATACCTACACATAAAGATACTATTTATCCCTGGGGCTTGTTGTGAGGAAAGCGTGAGTGAATCACAAAGCCCTCAGGCCAGTGCTTGGCACATCGATGGTAATTATTTTTACCCTGCTGGATCCTCATTCATATGAAGTGAGGGGATAAAAGAAAACTGATTTAAAACTTGTCTACAGAATTCCTCTAGTGCCAGGAAGAACTGTCATTTGGTTGCTGGGATGTTGGGAAGGCCTGGGAGTGAGACCAAGGGGACAAAAATTTTTCTACAAAATAGAGTCAGTGGAATTGGACTTTCTGCAGAGTTTATGAGGGGAAGCATGTATATGTGTGTGAGGGGTGGGAATGGGGAGAAGGAGGACATAGAAACAGGTGGGAAGGAGAGGGGTCAGTGTGCATGGTGGAGGGCTGAACCCAAGAGGAATGCTGTCCCTGCAGCAATGCCCCGTGGCTGGGACCACAGCGGCCTCCCGGGACAAGGGCACAGTATGCCATGTGCATGGTCCTCTGCGTGAACTGCACCGCCCACCCGCTTTCTCCACACCCCGAAGCCTGCTGTAAACGTTGCTATACACAAGGCAGGGTGCTGTGCGAACTCGGGAAAGAAGGCAGAGGTGTCCGCAGTCTGTGGTTTGGACAAATAAGCCATATAACATGAGCACACGCAAGGTTCAAAATGTGGTGGAAACGGAAGATCAGAACAAGAGGTGAGGAGAAGCAGCACAAGCCTCGCCCTCCCGGCAGCCCCCCTGGGTTCCTCGCCATATATGGGCTGGAGTGAAGCCATCTTATTGACGATGAAAGAATAGAGTGGACCATGTGTCCAAAGGACACGGGTGACAGAGACGGTTGTACGTGCTGTCCCATGTCACCCTCTCAGCGGCTCTGTGCGAGATTTATTAACTCTGTTTTCTGGACGAGAAGAGGAGGGTGTGATGGGAGGTTCTCCCCAGGCTCTTGCTGGCCCACAGTCCTGGCTGAACCCCAGAGCAGTCTACTGAGTCCTAAGCACAACAGAGCAAGTGTGAGGTGGCTGCAGGTGACCAGTGTTTTGGGTGGGAATAGGAAGCTTTTGTCTTGGGACTGAGAACTCCTTTCCCTACACAAAGGGCTTGGTTTTCCATGGTTTCCCTGCAACTGGTTGTCAGGCTGTGCTGTTACTTTAGTGCACAGGCACGGCCCTGCTTCCTAGGCTCTGGGTTGCTGCCCATTTCCTGCTCCTGGGGGACAGTTTCCATCAGCCGGTGACACAGGGCTCCCGGAAAGTGTCTGGCTTCTTCCCTGGTCCGCTCCAGTGACAAACCACATGCTGCCTCTGGAGCACCCTCCCAGGAGCTGCTTCCGCTCTGCCTGGAATATCTTGCAATGGCTTTTCAAAGGAGACAAGGTGCTGCGTGTGCCTGTGTAAGGCGGGCTTGCTGAGGGCAGGAGCCCTGGCTGCAGATTGCCTCAAGGGCTTTGTTAGAGTTTTTCTTATATATTCACCTATTAAACAACAGAATTATCATAAAGTGTCAAAGCTGGAAGGACTTTCCAGTTCATTGAGTATATTCAGTTACAGACGAGGCCCGGGGAGGAAGAAAGATGTGCCCAGAGAAACAGTTGCTGGAGTGAAGGTTGGTTCTGGAGACCAGGTCTTGCTCCCTGGGACTATACTTTCTACCTCTCCTTCCCAGCAGGCCTGCATTCTGCCCCGTGAAGGGGAGAGTAGGCTTGCATTAAAAGCAGGAGCAAGCTAGGGACCACACACAGTGGGTGATGGGCGCTTATGGCTGAAGCATGTCATGCAGGGAAATGGAGAGGAACCCAGACGACCAGCAGCTCCTTGGACGACCTTAGACAAGTCGCCTTGATTGCATGGGCCTCAGCTCCTCACCTGCAAAATGGGATCACTAAATCCCCATGTTGCTCGCTCCCAGGAGGGAGGTAAGATCTACCCAAGGGAGGTACTGGAAGGCCCTTTCCAAAAGTTACATAGCCCTAGTGGGGATTTTTATTAGCATTTTTATGCTAATGTTGCAGAAACATTAAATTGTAAACTGAGACTGGATTAGTTTCTCTTCTGATAATTCACAGTGATGGCCAAGATAAGAAGAGATCTGACTGTGATCTAGTCCATGGCGCCCACATTTTGGATTTCATGGATCGATGAAATTACCCCAAGTGAAAATTCAGTGACCCATACAGAGCGGGCAGCTTTTGATTTTGCCTATTGTGACCATTAAAACAAAAAAATAAGTTGGACAAAAAGCAAACCAACTTAACTTCCATCCATATCAGCTTCATCTTACAAAAGAAAGACCATTTTAACATTTTAGAAAAGTATATACTCTCAGAGCAAAGGAGTGCCCCTTACTTACAAATAATTGGCTCTGAGAAAATGGGTGACCTTGTCTTCCTTTTTCTGATTCCACTCTGGACTGGTGGAAACTATCATAGGGGCAGAACCACTAGTTAAAATCCCTGTGCTTGGCAGCCTATGATGGGAGCTCTCTCCAGGGGCCGTGCTGTGATGTTGTTGGTGTGAGAGGCTGTGTCCAGACACTGTGTCCTCCTTTGGTTCTAAGGATGCTCTGGTGTCTCTACCTGGGTGCCTATGATAACCCATCCTTTCTCTTTTCCTTTTTTTTCTCTCTGAGCTGTCTGGTTATCCAGCTGTGCTTGTTACCTAGATTCTAAAGATTACAGAACTGAGATGGGTTAATGTTCTTGGGTGATAAGACCACTGGATTAGAGATGAGGAAATCTGGATTCTAGGTTTGGCTCCATATGTCCTTGGACACAACACTTCTCCTCCTTTGTGCTATGGAAAGATTATTCAGATGATCTCAATGTTTTCACCTTTGTTGTGAACCTAACTCCGCTTACCAGCCCTCTGGAGTAGAGACAAATGCATTTTAGTGACTTCAATGATAGGAAGTGTGGAGGGGTGGGGTGGAGAAGAAGGGTCTGTTTTCCCAAGTCCTCAACTGCATTATGCATTTTGGCTGCTACCAATTATTTAATGATTACTATGTATTTGTCGCCATGCCAAGCAATGTATGGATGAGATCTGATTGGCTTCTTGAATACCTTCATAAGGTAGTAGTATTATTCCTATTTCATAAATAAGGAACTGAGGCTCCTACGTGGAATGTAGAGCCAAGACTCAAACCCACATTTGCCTGACTCCAGATTTCAGGCTCTTAACACAACACTGCTTTGTATTCCTGTCCATGTCTATGCGACAGCCTATGCCAGAGGTAGAATTTCCATCAGTGGGAGAGGTGAGGGGTGGTGGGAAACGTGTGGGGATGAGCTTGTGGATCACAGCCTGCTCTGGTGAATCAATTTGCAGCAGCTCCGCCCTAAGCAGCCCACCTCTGCCTCCACCCTCTTTTCTGTTGGGCGCTGCCATGATGTCTCTCGCTGTTGAACAACTATGATGTCGTGTGGATGATTCACTACACATTTACTCCTAACCCCAAGGTCTTACCTCCTTTAAGGGGGAATTTTCCTGGGGGAGTTGGAATGGAGTCCTAGAAGAGAAGAAAGAAAGAAAGAAAAAAAGAAAATGGTGTGAGGAAGATATTCAATTGAAACAACTCACCTTTTTATTTTCCATTTTGGTTGTCCTCAAAGTACTGTGCAATTTAGAATTCACCTTCCATCTGACTCTTAAATTTTAAAAGATAAATTCACTGACTTAGTTATGATGAACTTGCTTATGCATTTGCTTGACAACATGCCTATCAGAAAAGCAATTCAGTTACTATCCACATTTCACAGGCAGGAGCCAGGGTTGAGAGAGAGAAAATGAAAAATTTATGGCAGCTCAGGGACCAGCATCTGCAACTCAACCCCCAGTCTAGTGCTTTTTTTTTCACCTCCACATGTGTTATTCCCCCCCTTCAGTCAACATAAGAACAATCAAATATAAATACATGTGGGTTTTTTCCATCTTTGTTTCATCAAACAGTAAAAATAGGTTGTAAACATACCTGGGAAGGTACATTTATATCCCTCCTGTGGTTGGAAATTCTGAATTAATTGAATTTTTATGTGCCAAACATCATGAGGATAATGAAATAATTAAATTGAGTCCCTGTCCTCTGAATTTATTACCAGCTTAAAATTGGATAGATTATCCAAATATTTATAGACATATAACATAAATAAATGCAGATATCTTATATATTTATATATTCACTGTATATTTCATATTTTTTATTCTAGAATAAACATGAATATATACATCAATCTTGACACAGATAAGTAAGAGTTTGATAGAAAGAGATTGTCTTCTGGAGGGACCTCCTGGGCTGGGGGGTTGCAGTGGATGAAAGGGAGGTCTTTCTGAGGTGCACTGAGCAAGTAGGCAATAGAGCAGTTGGGCACAGTTCTTCACCCCAACTAACTCTACAGAGACTAACTTCCGCACACCTAGTCTCCCTCTCCCTACTTCCCACCTCAGCCATGGAGACACCCTTCAGGTGTCCTGCCAAGGAGGAATGAAATGTCTTACTCATCTTTTGTCCTGTCCAGGTTGGGAATCTCCTATGGTTCATTGGATTACAATATTAATAAAGACCTAGAGACCTTTAATGAATAGATAAAAACACCTTCCCAATCTATCAGAGCAAGAAGTTAGCAGTTGCCCATATCTTCTTTTCTTAGCGTTTAGTACAAACAACTAGGACCATCTGGAGTTCCCTTTTATTCTATCACTAGAGGCCCGCTGCATGAAATTCATGCACTTGGGCCGGGGTGGGGTGTCCTTCAGCCCAGCCTGTGCCCTCTTGCAGTCCAGGACCCCTTGGGGGATGTCCACCTGCCGGCTTAGGCCTGCTAAGCCGGCAGGCGGACATCCCTCTCGTAGTTCTGGACCCCTTGCTCCTTACTGCCCGCCTTCTCGCTGCTCCTAACTGCCTAACTGCTCGGCTTGCTGCTCCTTAGTGCTGCTGCAGAGGCGGGAGAGGCTCCCGCCACTGCTGCTGCGCTCATCAGCTGTGAGCCCGGCTTCTGGCTGAGCGGTGCTCTCCCTGTGGGAGTGCACTGATCACCAGGGGCCAGCTCCTGCATTGAGCGTCTGCCCCCTGGTGATCAGTGCGTGTCATATCGACAGGTCGTTCTGCCGTTTGGTCAATTTGCATATTAGGCTTTTATTATATAGGATTTCCCCAGGGGCTCTGTCCTTTGCCTTCCTGGTAAATGGATCTCTTCTCCAGGCCAAGTGGGTTGTAATGAGTTTAGAAGTCTCCTGAAGGCAAAGCCCTAGCATAGCACCAATCTGGAGACGTTGGAAGTCAGTCTAAACTTTTGGGCATCAGCTTTTCAGGGGAAAGAAAGTGAACTTGACTTGGAAGGTCCTTCCCTCTTTGCTCTAATAGTCTATGATTTTATTGTTTTAGTTGAAAGCTCTTAACTTAAATAACAATGCTGTTCATTGTGTTTTCTCAGTTATGCTTGCAATTCATAGGAAATCCTGACATCATAAAATCCCCCCCCCCCCGTGTTGCCTCTGTGAGACAATAAACAGCATTTCAAAATTTAATCAGCACCTCATTTACTGTTGAGCATGACCATTGATTAGTGTGATGTTCAAATGTACAAAGAAAATCATCTATGTTTGGGTGCGGTACTAAGATCATTGACCTGGTTGGCTGCCCAGGAAAGTATGCAGGTACCATGAGAGAATGCCACCGCAGGAAAAACAAAAACATAGAGCCGTCCCAGGGCCACGGGCAGGTGGGAACTACCAGAGAATCATACATTCGGCACATATTAAATGAGCACCTGGTGTAGGCCAGGCACCAAGTTAGTGTTGGAAAACATCCTGTGGGTTTTATGGCTTAGCTATTAAAGTAGTTATTTAAAATACACAAATAAATATATAATAAGAATTTCAGGTTGCAGTAAGAGCCAAAAAGGAAAAGAGTCTGAATATTTCAAGATTGTGTACTAGTTTCCTCTTAACCAAGGGGGATACACCCTAAGACTCTCCGTGGATGCCTGAAACCATGGAAAATACTGAAACCTGTAGATGCTGTGGTTTTTCTGTATATACATAGCTTTTCACTTAAATGATATCCAAATTGCCTGCATCACTACTGCTACCGATGGCTTTGGAGCCATTGTGACGTAAATGAGGGTGGTGTGAGCACAAACACAGCAATATGATAGGGCAACAGTGGGCCTGACCACTCAGATGGCCACGCAAGACTAGTGGGTGGGGAGTACACACAACATGGGGACACTGGACAAAGGGATGATTCACATCCTCTGGACTGGATGGAGGTGGGTGAAGTGGGACGTGTTGAGATTTTATCACACCACTCAGAAGTGTTTATTTCTGGAATTTTCCATTTAATATTTTCAGACAAAGTTGACCACGGACAACTGAAACCACAGTTAAGGGTGGGGTGGGGAGGGGACTGCTGTACCTCCTAGGCATTTGTTAAAATGCAAATTCTGACTTGGCAGGTTTGGGCAGAGCCTGGGAGTCCATTTCTGACAAGCTCCCAGGTGCTGCTGCTGCTGCTGCTGCTGGCCCACAGAACACACTTTAGATAGTACGATTGTAAGAGGCAATATCTAGGAGGAGGACCTCATTCATAGAAGGTCAGAGGAGGCTTCTGTCTGTCACTTGAGGGCTTTCTGGTTTCCTAACTTCAGACAGGAGAGGTCAGAAACAAAGCATCTTTGTACAAGAAAGAGTCCTGTGGCTTAAACCTTGGATGCCCAGGGCATCCAAGACAGGAGTGTGGCTATTCCTGTTTTGAAGAGCTCTTGGGACAAAGTCTCCTACTTCTCCTGGCTGCCCATGGTAGGCAAGATCAGAGAATCAGAGCCAGAGGGGAGCCTAGACATCTCTCAGTCCATCAAACTATTTTTACAGAAGAGGAAACTGAGGCACTCGTGAGTCAGCTAGTGGCAGATCTGAACCAAAGTTCTCTGGTGCTCTTTCCACTTCCCCAGAATAGTGGCTATCCTCAGAGGCTAATAATAGGAAAGCTCATTCTTCCCTCCTCTCCCCTCCCATTTGGAGATAGAAACGCAAGGTACAAAGAGATGATGGCTTTTAAAATTTGCTGAGGACTGTATGTGCCCTGGGTACTATGCTAAGGGCTGTCCATTAGTTTCTCTTTGGCAGGTGCCTCTCATCCTAGAATTCTCTCCCATGTCTTGCCTGGGGATCTGGATCCTGGCTGGGGAAATGTGAACCATCTTGCTCAGTGATTTGGCTTTGAGGGGAAAAGTATGTAGGCTAGACACAGGCACAAGCCAATGGACCCTCAGGTTGTCATTCTCAGCTTCATTGAGTAGCTCAGGAAACTTCATCTCCATGGTTACCAAGCAGCTACACTTCCTTCAGTGTACCTCTTTCGGCTTAGACTCTGGGTGTCTGATGGGTGCCTCCAACATTTCTGTGCATGGAGAGAGGAACTGTCACATTTAACCTGCTCATCCAGGTGAAATGACCCAATCAATCCCAATCATCTTGCCTACCGAGGACTCTGTTTCCTCATTTCCTTTAATCACTGTGATTACAGGGCTAATTATCCTTCCCTCCACTGAGTTGTTGCAGGCATGATAAAATGTTATATATAAAGTGTTAGTGAATGCTTGAAAATTGTACCTATTTTGGCTACTCTCTTGATCCTAATGCTGTGCAGGGGAATCAGCTCCCAAATTTGCTTTTGATGGAAGATGCTCTCTTTATTGAAAATGGCCAAAGGGGACTCCATATCCCCTTCTTTGCTGGCCTCACGCTGTCTTGTAAGTGGGTCACAGAGATCTTTGCCAGAAATGCCTCTTATTTTCAAGTTAACATGACTAAGCACTTAATCCTCTGAGGTTAAATGCCTTATTTTATTTGGCCTTTACTCCAAGAGTTAGTGACTAAACAAGACTTAGAGAAGTGACTTAATGATTACAGAAGGCCCCACAGATAGTAAATAGCGGGGAGAGGATTCAAACTCAGGTGTGTTGAGTTGGATGGCATACCACAATGCCTTTCTTAGGGTAGGGCAGGATTAAGCTGAGGCAGAAAAAATTCTCCTGGGACATTATGAGAAAGTGGATGGAGGTCATAGAAAATCCCCAGGAGAAAGAAGATTTGTATTAGCAGTCTTTGTCTTGATATGGTTAGTGAAAGTGGGAATTGGAATAGAGTGGTTCCAAGCAATGATTCTCCCAGTGGGGGTCTTGTTCAAATGCTGGTTCTGGTTCAGTAGGTCTGAGATGAGTCTTTAAGCTATGCATTCCTAATGGGCTCCCAGTGATGCCAGTCTGCTAAGCCATGGACCATACTTTGAAGAACCAGGGCTTAAGGCCATCACTCAACAGTCAGTTAGGACACCTGAGGTCTTCCTTTTCCAAGGAATGGGGAATGGCTATAGGAGGCTGAGTGTGGGTTGAGGAAAACTTCTTCCTGGACTGCCGATGGGGATGGAATCCTATCCTCTCCCCTTCCTCCATCAATGCTTCTTGCCACCTGGGTCTACTTCCTGCTGCTCCCCTGTGCAGCCTAACTGAC